AATGGAAAATTCCAGAAGCAAACAATTCCTAAGTTTTAAATTGTGTGCCTTTCCAAGAAGTGTGATGATATCTCACACTATCCCACTCCATCCTGCCCAGGACTTAAAACATCCCTTTGTTCAGCACATCCATGGGCAAATCCTGCCCATTAGTCACTAAGTAGCCTTCTTTGTTATCAAATTGAAAAAATGTAGTATATATAGAGTTTGGTATGATCCACAGTTTCAGGCATTCATTGGGGAGTTATGGAGGCTAAAGTAACTCCATCTTAGATGGTAATCTGCCATGTTGACGTCTGGTTAATCCCGGTTACTGGAATGCCTCTTTATCTACTATTCCTTGTGTAAGAGCATACCGTAACTGTAAGCCCTGCCCTTAGGTCTAAACAAACTTGATGTTATCACAAAAATTACTGGCTATGACATAAATAGCATATTTGTATTTTCCTGGTAGTTTGCCTTATAGAACATGTATATCCTTTTCCTATAATATATAAACCGCAGGTCTGTGGGTTAACAGTGTGAGGACCTGCCCATTGGAGACCTGGTTTCTGTTCGTAAATTTCTATTAAATGTTTCTTTCTGAGAAACTGGATTTGTCAGCCTTTTTCTTCAATCTCCGCTCACCATGGAACAGGAATCTTAGAACATATCCCCCCCACACAAGAGACGACTACTATAAATAAATCATTTTGTGTTATTGGTAACTAAGATTTTTAGTGTAACAAAAAAATACATTAATATAAAATCAAAGAAGGTAAGAAATAATCTATAATGTTAAATTTAAATTAGAAATATTATTATGAACTTATGTTTTTTTCTTTTCCTTAATCGGTTTTATATCATTTACAAGTAATTAAATTCACCCATTTTCAGTGTATAATTTTTGATACTCTCATTATAAAAAGTTCCCTTTTAACTTCCTGAAAGCAGTTTTTCCCTTTTACCCTCAGCCCTTGATAACCATCATGCTGCCCTCATGAAATGAGTCAGGGAGGAGTCCCTCCTTTTCAATTGTTTGGTAGAATTCAGCTGTAAATTTATCTGGTCTTAGGCATTTTTTGGTTGGTAGACTATTTATTACTACTGCCTTAATTGCAGAACGTGTTTTCGGTCTATTCAAGAATTTAATTTCTTCCTGGTTCAGTTTTGGGAGAGTGTATTTGTACAGAAGTTTATCCATTTCTTCCGGATCTTATGGTTTATGTAGATAGAGGTGTTTATAGTATTCTCTGATGGTCATTTGTATTTCTGTCGTCAGTGGTAATATTCCTTTATCATTTCTGATTGTGTCTGTTTAATTCTCTCTTTTCTTTTCTGTTAGCCTAGCTAGTGGTCTATCTATTTTATTTTATTTTCCAAAAAATAGCTTCTGGATTCATTGACTTTCTGAAGGGCTTTCTGTGTCTCTTATCTTCTTTGGTTTTACGCGGATCTTGGTTATTTCTTGTCTTCTGCTACCTTTGGAGTTTATTTGCTCTTGGTTCTCTTGTTCTTTTTGTTATGATATTAAGTTGCTGATTTCAGATCTTTCTAGCTTTTTGATGTGGGCATTTAGTGCTGTAAATTTTCCTCTTAACACTGCTTTGGCTGCATCCCAGAGATTCTGGTATGTTGTTTCTTTGTTCTCATTAGTTTCAAAGAACTTCTTGATTTCTGCCTTAATTTGATTATTTGCCCAGGAGTCATTCAGCTGCAGGTTGTTCATTTTCCATGTAGTTACATGGTTTGGAGTGAGTTTCTTAATCTTGATTTCTAATTTGATTGCACTGTGATCCAACAGACTGTTATGATTCCAATTATTTTGCATTTTCTGAGGAGTGTTTTACTTCCAATTACATGATAAATTTTAGAGTAAGTGCCATGTGGGGATGAGAAGAATGTGTGTTCTATTGATAGAGTTCTGTAGATGCCTATCAGGTCCATTTGATCCGGAGCTGAGTTCAGGACCTAAATATCTTTGTTAATTTTCTGTCTCAATGATCTGTCTAATATTGTCAGTGGAGTGTAAAAGTCTCCCACTATTATTGTGTAGGAGTCTAAGTCTCTTTGTAGATCTCTAAGAACTTGCTTTATGAATCTGGGTGCTCCTGTGTTGGGTGCATATATATTTAGGACAGTTAGCTCTTCTTGTTAAATGAACACTTTACCATTATATAATGCCCTTCTTTGAATCTTTTTTTATCTTTGTTGGTTTAAAGTCTGCTTTGTCAGAAACTAGGATTGTGACCTGCTTCTTTCTGTTTTCCATTTGCTTGATAAATTTTGCTCCATCCCTTTATTTTGAGCCTATGTGTGTCTTTGCATGTGAAATGGGTCTCTTGAAGACAACATATCAATTGGATGTTGATTCTTTATCCAGCTTGCCATTCTGTGTCTTTTAATTGAGGCATTTAGCCCATTTACATTTAAGGATAATATTGTTATATGTGAATTTGATCCTGTCATCATGATGCTAGCTGGTTATTTTGTGGACTTGTTTATGTGGTTGCTTCATAGTGCTGCCAGTCAGTGTGTTTTTCTAGTGGCAGGTAATGTTTTTCTTTTCCATATTTAGTGCTTCTTTCAGGAGCTCTTGTTAGGCAGTCCTGGTGATGATGAATTCCCTCAGCATTTGCTTGTCTAAAAGGATCTTATTTCTCCTTAGCTTATGAAGCTTAATATGGTCAGATATAAAATTCTGGGTTGGAAATTCTTTTCTTTAAGAATGTTGAATATTGGCCCCCAATCTCCTCTGACTTATAAAGTTTCCACTAAGAGGTCCACTGTTACTCTGATGGGCTTGTCTTTGTAGTGATCTGAACTTTCTCTATGACTTCCCTTAACATTTTTTTCTTTCATTTCAACCTTGGAGAATCTAAAGATTATATGTCTTGGGATTTATTTTCTCAATTTATATATTGTCTTGGGAGTGTCTTAGTGGGTTCTCTGGATTTCCTGAATTTGAGTATTGGCCTGTCTTGCTGGGTTGGGAAAATTCTCCTGGATAATATCCTGAAGTATGATTCCAATTTGGTTCCATTCTCCCTATCACTTTCAGGTACTCCAACCAGTCATAGGTTTGATCCTTTTACATAATCCCATATCTTTCAGAGGTTTTATTCATTCTTTTTCCTCTATCTTTGCCTGCCTGTTTTATTTTGGAAAGACAGTCTTCAAGCTCTGAGATTCTTTCCTCCACTTGGTTATTCTGCTACTGATGCTTGTGATTGCATTGTGAAGTTCTCATGTCGTGTTTTTCAACTCCATCAAGTCAGTTCTGTTCCTTTCTAAACTGGCTATTCTGGTTATTGGCTACTGTACTGATTCTTAGCTTCTTTGCATTGAATTAGAAGTTCATTATTGCCCTCCTTCTGAAGCCTACTTCTGTCAATTCAGCCATCTCAGCCTCAGCCCAGTTCTATGCCTTAACTAGAGATGTATTAGATCATTTGGAGAAGAAGTACTCTGGCTTTTTGAGTTTTCAGTGTTTTTGTGTTGATTCTTTGTCTTTGTGGGCTTATCTACCTTTGATCTTTGAGGTTGCTGACCTGTCGGGTCTTTTTTGTTGATGTTGTGTTGATTTCTGTTTGTTTGTTTTCCTTTTAATAGTCAGGCCACTTTTCAACAGGGCTGCTGTGGTTTGCTGGGGGTCCACTCCAGACCCTAGTTACCTCAGTCCCTCCCTGGAGGTATCACCAGTGAAGGTTATGAGCCTGCAAAGATAGCAGCTTTCTTCCTCTGGGAGCTCCATCCCAGGGGGAACCAACCTGATGTCAGCCTGAATGTTCCTATAGGAGGTGTCTGGAGACCTCTGTTGGGAGGTCTCACCCAGTCAGGAAAAACAGGGTCAGGGACCCGCTTAAAGAAGCAGTATGGCTTCCCCTCAGCAGAGCAGTTGTGCTGTGTTGGGAATAGCCCTCTTTGTCCAGACTTCCCAGGCTCTCTAGAGCCAAGGGGCTGGGAAGGCTATGTTAGCTGAACCACAGACAGGGTGGCTGCCCCTCCCCCAGGGGCTTCATCACAGGGAGAGATCAGATGACCTCATGATTTTTAAAAATACATTTCCTAGTTCAGACCCCTGAAAGAGTCAAGAAGTACTAAAACTCCAGTAGCAATTAGCATACCTAGTATCTGAATCTTGGCTTTAAATACCACTCCCCAATAAAAGGAATCAAATATCCTTAGCAAAAGTCAGATTCTAAGCCTGGGGCAAGGAGAGGACAAGATGAAACATCTTGTTTGCCAGAAAGCAAGGAAGCCTTTACTGAAGAATGAGAAGGGCATATCAGTAAAACACAGCAACCAGTTTTCAGAGCTTCTACTTCTCAAATTTTGAGAAATTGTAGCTCAATAAGTATAATGAATTTCTAAATATTGACTAAACGAAAAGGCTTAAGTCTACATACAATACTCAAAGAAGGCTAAACAAAACAAAATTAATTTGGCACCATGGGAGATTATGACCATTACTTCAACTTTCAACTCCTTACTCTGAAAATTGGAAATTAAAACAAAAGAACTATTTTTCCTGCTTCATAAGAGCAATGGTAGTTAATCCTCAGGTGATCTAGAAAATCTTCTTCAGAGAAGAATGTCAGCTAATAAGTTTGCAACCCTCAATGAAATAATTGATTCAGAAAATGATAATCAATGGATGTTAAAATCATTAGTTAAAAGATTACCAGGAAAAGGACAGTGTCATACATCTCCTGTTGCTTGCTAATTGCAAAGGGGAAATGGGCCTTTATAATCAGAGATCTACTTGTCACAGTAAAACGAAGTAACTCAGCATCATTAATAGTGAAACAACGGGGCATTTTGTGCCTCCTGATATGTTGTAATATGAAGTACACAAAATCATCTATAAAATTATCTGGCCAAAAGGTTCTGCCTGAATCTCATCAAGGTTTCAGAGCTGACTTCCAGTTTATAGGAACTACAAGGGAGAAAGGAACTAGTTAAAGATATAAAAGATACTGCATCAGATGTACTTATGTATCAGATCCTCTCAGCCTCACCTGTCTCCAGGGACATTGTGTTCAGCTCCAGGCCTCCTTGCAGAAACCAAGTCTGGCTGTGCTCCAGTAGACTTTATGTGGGCAGTACCCTACAGTGCTGCTTCTCATCCCGAGCTTCCCCCTAGACAGAGGTGTGAAACTCTGCAGCCAGGTCCAGGCTGGCTCATGCGCAAACTGAAAGGAAGGCAGGATTCACATTCTGTAGAGTGCACATGACTCTTGCATCAGTGGAATATGAAAGCCAGTGGACACATTCTTCCCTGTTGTCTCCTTGAAACAGAGCATCCTAAAAAACAGCCATTGACATGCTCTTTCAGATGATCACATAAGATAAAGTAGCAAACCTAGTTAATAGTAGAGAATGGGTAGCATAATAACACACACTCATATCGCCTCACTCCCCTTCCCTGCCTCATTATGAACTATACACACCCACTCCTCCCTAGTCCTGCACTTCCAAGGAGAGTTGTAGCATATAGGCCTTGCCTTAGGTTCTAACATCCAAGGAAAAACGCAGGTTAAGAATGATCCCGTGAGGCAACAAATCTAGAAGGTGGGACAATCCAAATGACAACAGACCTTGACTGTTAAGTATGTATATATTTATATGTGTATATATGTATATGTGTATTTACATGTGTATATGTGTGTATATATACATGCACACATATATATGTATATATGAATGGACAAAACAACTAAATGTAGTGTGTGAGTACTGATTGCATGCAATTGAATAAAACAAGCTATAAAAGGTATATGGGAGGCCTCACACCTGTAATCCCAACACTTTGGGAGGTGGAGAAGGACAGATCACCTGAGATTGGGAGTTCAAGACAAGCATGACCAACATGGAAAAACCCCATCTCTACTAAAAATACAAAATTAGCTAGGTGTGGTGGTTCATGCCTGTAATCCCAGCTACTAGGGAGGCTGGCAGGAGAGTCATTTGAACCCAGGAGGTGGAAGTTGCAGTGAGCTGAGATCATGCCATTGCACTCCAGCCTTGGCAACAAGAGTGAAACTCCATCTCAAAATAAATAAATAAAGAAATAAATGAATGAATAATAAAAAGGTACATGGGCAATAACTAGGAAATTTTGAAAATGAACTGGATATTAGGTAACACTTGGAGATTACTGTGAATTTTCTCAGATATGGTTATGGTTTAGTAGCTACATAAAAGAAAGTCTTTATTGTTAGGAGTTATACGCTGAATATTTAGGGCTGATGTGTCATAATATCTGCAACTGGCTTCCAAATATTTCAGAATATGTATATATATTTTTTGAAGAAACGTACTTATACCTTAAAAGATAAATATGCAGCCATATGTCCCTAAAAAAGTAAAGCAACTGTTCGGAAGTACTTATTCCTGAAAAGATACAATTTCACTATAGAATTTAGTCCAACCGTCATGTATAACAGTGAAAGGCTGTGAGAGGGCCTTTCAAAGGAAAGATGAGATGGTTCTAGCTGCTATGTTTGAACAAGATGTGAGAGAGAGAGAGAGTTTGGGGGGGGAGGGGAGCTTTCTAAAATAAATGCTAAAATTTTCTTCTAATTATCCCTACATTTTAAAAATAAGAGTTTTCACTTAAGCTGAGAAACTTGAAGATTTCAGTGTGTTCAATTGCAGGTAAGAGCACTAGACTTTTCCTAGAACAGAAACTGGTTCCCTGTGAAGCCCTATACAACATGCTGTGAGCACAGTGCCTGCAGCACTGAAGGCCAAAGGGCAGTTCAAGCTGAATCTGGCTCAATTTCCTAGAAAAATAGCACCATCTGCTGGCCGGGCAAAGGCAAACTTTAAAGACCTGAACTCTGATAGATCAAGGAAATCAGTACCATACCGCAAAACTTCTAGGGTTTATCTCTATTATTGGGAAGAAGTGTAAGTACATTCTTGGTATTTTTGTTGTTGTTGTTGTTGTTTGTTTTTGAGACAGAGTCTCGCCCTGTTGCCAGGCTGGAGTCAGTGGCGCGATCTCAGCTTAGGCAACCTCCGCCTCCCGGGTTCAAGCAATTCTCCTGCCTCAGCCTTCCAAGTAGCTGGGACTACAGGTGCCCGCCACAACACCCAGCTAATTTTTTTCTTTTTTTTGAGACGGAGTTCCGCTCGTGTTACCCAGGCAGAAGTGCAATGGCGCGATCTCGGCTCACCACGACCTCCACCTCCTGGGATCAGGTAATTCTCCTGCCTCAGCCTCCTGAGCAGCTGGGATTACAGGCACGCGCCACTATGCCCAGCTAATTTTTTGTATTTTTAGTAGAGACTGGGTTTCACCATGTTGACCAAGATGGTCTCCATCTCTTGACCTCGTGATCCACCCGCCTTGGCCTCCCAAAGTGCTGGGATTACAGGCATGAGCCACCGCACCTAGCCAAGTCTGAATACATTCTATGGATAATCATCCCTTAGGCAGAGGAGAGAGATGATCTCTTTCATCACATTAAAGCTCCATAAGAGTTGCCTGGGATGCTGCTGCTTGTTGTCGACCACCCTCTCAAGGATGACATGACCAAAGTACCCTATCCTTTTACCCTGCCACCTCTTCATTCTCCAGCCCCTGTCACTTACTGAGATTCTAACAGTTCTGCTCTCAAATCTGTTTTGCTTTTGCAATAATTTGGTGATCAGTTCAACAGAATGACACATTCATCATGTGCCAAAGGAGGAGATGACTGAGATTTCAAATTCTCAAGCAGTCTCAGTGCAGCCAGAGATTTAACAGGGTTCTGTGCCCAGGAGCACTCTGGGCAAATGCAGACTGGGTTCAGATTACTCAAATTCCTCCCAGATTTCTTAATCTGGTGGGTTATACTTTGGAAGGCCGAGGTAGGTGGATCACAAGGTCAAGAGATCGAGACTATCCTGGTCAACATGGTGAAACCCCATCTCTACTAAATATACAAAAGTTAGCTGGGCATGGTGGCGTGTGCCTGTAGCCCCAGCTACTTGGGAGGCTGAGGCAGGAGAATTGCTTGAACCCAGGAGGCAGAGGTTGCGGTGAGCCGAGATCACGCCATTGCACTCCAGCCTGGGTAACAAGAGCAAAACTCCATCTCAAAAAAAATAAATAAAAATAAAAAATAAAAAAAGAATTCGGTGGATTATACCAAACCCAGAAAGTTTAAACAGCCTCTACTTTTCCTTATTTTCTCCTAAGCCCTACCTTGGAGAATCTCTATGAGCAGAGATCTGGCTCCTTAAGAAAGGAGACACTTCAATCCTGTTATTGGCTAAATTGTGTTCCCTCAAAATTTATACGTTGTGGCCCTAACCCCCAGTATTTCCAAATGACTGTATTTAGAGATAGAGCCTTTAAGTTAAAAGGAGGTCGTTAGCATGGGTTCTAATTCAATATGACTGATATCCGTATAAGAAGAGATCTGGACACACACAGAAAGGGAAGACCCTGTGAAGACACAGGAAAAAGGGCATCTGCCAGCTAGGAGAGAGGCCTCAGAAGAAACCAACCCTGCTGCCACCTTGATCCTAGAATCGTGAAAAAATAATTTGTTATTTAAGTCTGTGGCACTTTACTTTGGCAACCCTAACAACCTAATACAAAAGTCCATCTTTTAACAGCAGCTGAGAGAGGGAAAAGGAAGCGATGGAATATAATACAGAAAGAAGCATGCATGAAAGAGGGGGCTTTGAAGTTTCTCCCACCTGCCCAACCTCCATTCACTATGGCTTATGGTAGGCTTTTGAGAACTCCATTAGGTCTTTGACCCACATCAGAGATCCCCTTTCTTGGAGCTGAAATAAGGTTGAGAAGCTCTGAACTTCCTCTAGTGATTTGAGAATGTAGCAACAATTAACTTGTTGATTGTCCTTTACATACCAATTAGCAAACAACCATTTGTTGCAGAGCTCTGATCATGGAAGAGGAACTGATATTTCTTACAAGTTAATTATATTTATTTCCCCTTTTCCAATTACAGAAGTAAAACATTTTTATCAGCAAAAACAAAGAAGATAAAAAAATGTAAAGGAAAGACTGTCATCTGCAATTTCTATCCTTAGACAACCATTATTTACTGTTTTGATGTGTCTTATTTTAGCCATTTTTCTATACATATGTTTAACCAGTTAGGTCCATATACATAGTTTCATATTCTGCTTTTTTCACTTAACATATTGATAAAACAATTTTCTCATTGTATTAAGTATTATTGTTTTCTCTATCTTTTTGAGACTTGTGTGATACATAGAAGTGAGGCCAGCAAGAAAGATCCAAGAGGGGAATCCCCAGCCCCACGCAACCACTACCAACTGGCCAGTGAAAGGGCATGGGCTCCACGTCACTGATGCAATACACACTTGCTGACCAGTCCCCTGTCTCTGCTATAGCAGTGATTGGCACGACAGCCTGCTGAACCAACATGATCAGTGATCACATGACCATGACCAGGCAAACACAGCGAAAAAGCCTCTCTTTGTTCAATTAGCTTGATAGAGATTTACATCATTAAATAGTCTCCAGATCTCCCTTTTTAATTCTCTTTTCTCATGACCTACTTTGCCTTTAAACTTTCACACTTCTTTAATGCAAATTCACCCTGCTTTGACACCACACTAACATAGAACCAAATTAAACTCTCTTCTGGCTTCCTTGGTCTCTGGAGAATCCAGGTCTGTTTCTGTCCAGACCCTATGCCCCATTTTCTCTGCCACAGGTGGAAATAGTTCTTTCTTTAAAATATTTTTGTAATTCCAGTAGCTTTTGGGGTACTGGTGGTTTTTGGTGACAGGATGAATTGTATAGCGGTGAAGCCTGAGATGTTAGTGCACCTGTCACTAGTAGGGTACACTGTATACCCAATATGTAGTTTTTTATCCCTTGTGCCCTTGGCCTTCCAAAGTGTTGGGATTACAAGTGTGAGCCACTATGCCCAGCCTGGTTTTTACATTTATTTTTAATATTTGTATTTACATATGGTAAAATGTACTTTTTGGATGTGCAATTCTCTTGCCAAATACAGAGAGGCCAGTATCCACAACCACAATCAAGACAGAGAATAGAGTGGCTCCCCTCCACAGCACTAAATCCTGGCTAGCTCTCCCCTCACGCCCCCCAGGCCCAGTGGCAGTGGTGGGGGGTTTTGACTCTCAGGGTGCTGATGAGTCCTCAGTGGGAGCCTTGGTGCAGAGGGTAGGGGTGGCAGCACTGCTAGTGGGGACCACTGGGAAGCTGAGAATGAGGAGGTCAAAGAAAACCGGGATGATGATGATGACAAAAAAGAAAAAAAGGAAGCAGAAGTAAAACAAGAGATTACAATTTCAGAAAAGAAAAAAATGGCAGAGGAGATAAAAGAGAAAGAACAACAATAGAAGAAAAGGCCAGGAGAAATGAAAAAGAGGTTAGAAGAAACTGAGAACCTAAAGTTCTAAAACCAGAAGAACAATTTAACAGGTAAACCACACTAAAGAAATTACAGGAAGAGTCAGACCTCAAATTAGCAAAGGAAATTTTCATTATTAATAATACAGGCCAGGTCCAGTAGCTCACATCTGTATTCCAGCAATTTGGAAGGCTGAGGCAGGCAGACTACCTGAAGTCAGGAGTTCAAGACCAGCCTGAGCAACATGGTGAAATCCTATCTCTACTAAAAATACAAAACATTAGCGAGGCATGGTGGCTTGTGCCTGTAATCCCAGCTACTAGGGAGGCTGAGGCAGAAGAATCTCTTGAACCTGGCAGGTGGAGGTTTCAGTGAGCTGAGATCACGCCAACGCACTCCAGCCTAGGTGACAAGAGCAAAACTCCGTCTCATAAATAAACAAAAGGAAACAGATTAGTTGGACTTCAACAAAATTAAAAACTTTTATGCATCAGAGGACACTATCAGCAGTGTGAAAAGGCAACCCATGGAAGGGGAGAAAATATTTGCAAACCAAACACTGGTAATGGTCTAGAATCCAGAAAA